CGTCCTTCCGTCCCTACCACGTAAACTAAATACGTCGTACGGTAACGTAACGTTAACGTAACTAATTAACGTTTAACGTTAATTAACGTAGTTACGTATCTCCTCTCTCTCTCTCTCTCTATATATATATATATATACATATGATAATGCTAAAATGCTAAATTTTTCCCAGAGTACAAAATGATACACAGTATTCAGGTCTCTCTAAGATAGAACAAACCCGATTTTTCTTATAATTCAAACAAAGAAACAGGCAGTTTCCCATTTGCATATTTTTTAATCAAACAAGAGTCAAGCTCAATATATATATATCTTACTTTAATGGTCAAATAAGAATAAATAATTATAGCATCTAAATATACTCTTGTAGTTTGGCCTTGATATGTATTGAGAAGACGGAAATCACAGCGGATGCATATTTTAAACTGATATTGTCACAACTTCATATGTCAGTTAATATTACAATCGTTGCTGGTATTGAGTTGTTGTGCATCTTGTATTATAAGCCTCAATGAATGAAATAGTTGTTTCTATATATTTATATAGCGATGAAACGTTCAAATCTAGACAAATAAAAGCAAGCACTAGTAATTCTAAGTGACATATTTTTTGTTGTAATTGAATTAAAATAGAATATAACAAAATACTGAATAACTACAAAATAAAATCAAATATTCTACCTTACTGAATGTTCCTGTCTATTATAACTTGATTAAAAGGGTTTCTGACGTTATGTCAAACATCCAGAATGCAGGAAACTACCTCGTAGAGCGTTATACATTAAACTCGTTAGACATAATTGACCTCCCTCCGGGGACTCACTGATAAACTTGAAGAGTTGCAAAGATAAAATTTGGGAATCGATACCTGTGGTGGACACAACGTTATGCAACTTTGGGCTTAAAAACAAGTTAACTTAGCTGAAATGTTTGAAATACAGAAGATTTTTTTATGGTCGGTAATAGTATTTTAAAGAAATTAGCCTTATATGTGTTAAGCAGCTGAAACCCGTATAAACTAATATGCTTTAAAAGATCAAATCAGCTTAAATATATATATATTATGAATTCAAACAGCCCCAAAATTCAAGGTTACTGCAATCATTTGGATTTTTAGGGCATTCTAATGGTGACGGAATTAGGAAAATAAAAGGTCAGACAAAATGTCTTTATGCTAAAAAGCATATAGTCCTGCGAGGTTGCTATGGTACGCCGCTCTCATACTTTAAATGCGGGTTATTTTCCATGTTTCTTTTTAATGCGTTCAGATCTGGACTGGTGAGATTGTAATCATATCTTTAATACTGAACGTTATATATAAAATGAAGTTTTATCATTAGCTGAACGCTCTCTGACCTTGTATATGCTGCTGCTTTACAATAACATACCTACAGCAATGATTGTCTGAATTTTCAGTTAATTATTAATCACGGTCGCCACATTTTGGTAATTAGCTGTTGTGTCGGAGAGGATGTAAGGGATATGGTAGCGAACCCTCACGTATAAAGTTAGCACTACATCATTACAAAACGTCAAGTGACTCAATAATTAATGCAAAGTTGTTTTTGTGAATCAGAAATAAGCGTAGCTAGCAGTATTTCGTATATTATTGCTGGTTTTATGCAATGCAGTTTTGATAGATCGTAGAAAAGTTCGTTTTCATCTGAATTTGTTGCTGCTTATATCCTCTGGTGGTACGGGAGGTAACAATAAATATATACTAAAAATACGTACCACTTACTATGCTTGGAATTAAATGCTTTTAATTTAAAATGTTATTTATTTTCCGTACTCTAAATTAGAAGTTAAAGGTAGGATACTGTTTTTAACAAAAATAACTGTCATCATCTCATTCATCTAACGAGCTTCCCTTCACTACAGTACATATATCTAAGTGTGTAACCACAGTTGTTTACCTATTTTCTATTGTGTAAAGCACGTGATAAATATAAACATATTTACTTTCACTGTACTGCTCTGTTCGTTATTGGAGAGAAGGATTAAAATTTAATTTAAGGAAAATTCATTCAGCGCCATCTTTACGTTAAGAAGAACATTTAAAATGGGAAGATTCAAAATAATAATAATAGCAAACTATATCTGTCGAATTTGAAATATATTTTCAGGATATATTAAGGTATAAAACGATTTGTAATTTTCTATACTGCTGAATGACAATTAAGTACAATGTATTTTAAAAGGTTGATTACAAATAGCATTATCCAGTATTCCATGCTCTAGAATACATAGTGTTCTTTGTAAGCTTACATGACGCGGCGTTCATAATCTTACACCATGCTGTATAAATCACTATGAAATCTGTATATATATATATATAAAGTTGTATTAAAATAGCTTTCTGAAGTATATGCAGGTTCTATAAATGGATATTGTTGTGTTGTTGAAATTGTAACGTTATTTTTCGACCACATTTGCTAATCTTGAGAATAAAAAAAAAATTGCTACCGATTCTAGCATAAATTGAAGTGTTTATTATTATTATCACCATAAATAACTATAAAACACAAAAAAGCAGGTTAAATCAACTCAAAATGAATGAAAAGAAATGTGTTTTCCATTCAATGACGTCTCTGCAGGCAGAGCGCATGATCTGAACTCGTATTCTAAAGAAGACGCGCCATTAATTGTGGTCTGATCATTGTTGAGATTTAACAAGATTCTAGTTATAACCAACTACTAACATTGTTGCTGTTGTTTCCTTAGTATAAGGCTACACATCGGGCTACCTGAATGCTGTCTACCGCAAGGAGTTGAACCCTGGGTGTTAGCGTTATTAGTCCGTAAACTTGACTCTAACATACCCCGACTTTCAGAAAACTAACCTTCTCGCTTTATCTGTAAGATGCAACGCTGGAACAATATGACGTATTCTGTATTATAATAACTTTTGATACAATCTCACTATTACAGGACTGAAGTAGAACGATAAAGATCACACACTAATTTAAAGGTGGAAAGTACAATATGAGACCAACTCACAACACAATTAACAATTCGGAGATGGGATTACACACGTGCATAAAGTTGTTGAAACGTTGCCGTAGTGATTATATTTCAGTTTACCTCCAGGTTTAATAACAGTGAGTTAAAGTAATATAAGAAGTGCTAGAATGTATTATATCATTTTCACAACAGTTAAGAAGTAACTTACCTCCACCAACGATGATTTTAATCAATGCAAACTAAAAAAGAAAATGGCGAAAACGAAAAATTATAAGTATAAGTTAACGAAACAGAAACAAAAAAAAACCATTTAAAAACCTGTGATATTGATAAACTATGCTTCCTGTTCAGCAGACATTTTTTAAAATGTTATCTCTTTCACTAACGCGAAACTAATCAGCAAATCATACTGTGCTGTAGGCGTGTGCTACAAAGGTGTAAATAACAACAACCCAATGTACTTCGGGTTTCCGTAACAGAGCGAATAAAAGAGAAGTACGTTCAATACGGATTAGCCGTCAACATCTCCAACGGTGTATATTAGTTCACTTAAAATAATAGGATTGTTTATTTAGTTACTTATTAGCTCCTTTCACACCCGGTGTTTATCGAGTCTAAAAAGAAATATAAATCGACAAAAATACTTAATGTTTCATGCTCTGAAAGCGTGAGTTTGCCATCGCAATATTCTAAAACTAGGCAACGGCTTTATTCTCTGGTACGTTTTCATAGGTATATGGTCAAAAGCAAAATTAGTTTGTTCCAAATTAATCTTTATTCATTGTCAAAAATGTTTCACAAAGGTGCCGAAACGACGCTCCAACTACCAAAATAAGAACGAAGGGTTCTGACTCGATTGCTGAATACAAGACAATTTACAGAAAGAGCGGAACAAAATCAATAACGGTCATTGGTGAATTAATCAGCTCCAACAAAAATTCGACAGTTTTGGTCAAGTGATAAAGAATGGACAGTTGTAAAACTGCGTATGATTACGAAAGGGAAATCGTTAATACATCTTGTATTTTCTGTGAGTGAGAACCACAAACAGATGAAGTTCCAAATATGTAGGACAAATAATGTTTTTTTTGGTAGTTTTTTTTTTTTACTTGTTGGTCAACCCCTTGGCTGTAGAAAAACACGATACTGAATGCTAAGTACTTTATATGTAATCTAAAGATGTAGACAAAACGATAAAGCAAGAAAAACCTTTTTCATCCCATTATCAACTTCTAATCTTCTATCACACTTAATGGCCGTGAAATCTGTCACATGTTATCATTTTTGGTCACTGTACACTGACTAATTTGAATTTCTGGATTGCTTATAAACTACAGTTGAATTCATTGCTTGCTTGGTATCATCATATCGCAGACCTTATATACTGTGGTACTGAGGGAAATGTCATCCGTAAATAGGGACTTACAGTTTTAACTTTTTATCTGTCGGCATGGCCTAGAAAACCTTATTTACTCTGGTACTGAGTAAGTAAGAAAATTAAAAGCTAGTTTGTCCGACATTGAAAATGTAATTAATTGCACATTTTTTCTGTTCTATGAGAAAGATATTATATTATCAGCTTCCAGAGTGTAAATCGGCTTTGAGATTACAAATCAGTTACACCGTTGTCAATTTATAGCAATGTTAACATTGCTTGTATAAGTATAAATGTAAAAAATATTATTTTGACTATCATCATTTTTTATCTATTTATACATGTGTTTTAGCTGAAAGTGTGTTAGAGGTTATGGGAATATAAA